TAACATACTTGTTTGATGCAAACTATCTTCAGCTATATTGTGTGTTAATTTATTACACATTAATCTCTGTATTGATGCAGAACGGAAATGCTTTTAAAAAATATCACACTATTTAATGAATCCAGTTTTTTAAATGCGTAAATTTCCTTTCACTAGTTTCGATCATGTTCTTTTTAGGCTTTGTGATGGTGTCAGTTTTGATCACTGTTTTCTATTACACTCAGGTGGGTACATAGACCTGCTAAACCCATTTGTGCTTTCTGTCAGTGCTGCAGATTTACAGTTCGGAGGTTTTTGGTCAAAAGAAGGTTGTTATTTCCATCTGCAATAATTTATATTTGGCAGTAAGGCTCTGCTCTGGAAAAGCAGCAGCAAGACCCCTCTACAGAACAGGTCAGGCATCAATAACTTGTGGCTCCTAGAGTTTCCAAAAGAAGAATGGGAAGCAGAATCCAGCCCCTCTCCTGTGGAACCAGCTCCCAGTGTGCACTCAGAGACGCGCACCCTCTCTAATGTTAAGAGCGGTTTAAATGTTCTTTTTGGATAATGCTTATAGTTAGGACTGGATCAGGTTACCTTGAACCATCACTTAGTTGTCGGCTCAGACTGCTGGGGGACTTTCCCAGGTTGCACTGAACATTTCTTCTCCTCTCACCTCTTTTCACTGGCATTGCATTTATTGTACAGCTATTGCATGTTACTAACTTTTGCCTGCTCTTTCCTGCAGTGTTTTTCTTTTTTCATTTTGTTTGTTGTGTGTGATCTCTCTATGCTCCTGTTTTTTTCCCATCTCTTTCCCCTCAAACCCCAGCGGGTCGAGACAGATGGCTGCCCCTCCCTGAGCCTCGTTCTGCCAGAGATTTCTTCCTCTTTAAAAGGATGTTCATCCACATAGATGATTGTTGTCGGCTCTCCACTCAAATATTATTTGAAATTGAACTGAATCAAACTGAATTTTTTTTTTTAAAGTCTCTTATCTGTGTAAATTGCTGGACCCACATGTCTTCGTTCACTCAGGTCAGCAGACCAGATACTTTTGCTGATTCTGAAGAGAAAACTCAGACGTGACAGTTGCTTTTTCATTTGTGGCACAATTTGCCACTGCACACCAGGCAGACTTAAATCTCATTTAAAAATACACCTTTGCTCCCTAGCCTTTGTCCCATTGTGAGATACTGACTGTGATTTTAAGTCATCTTTTAATTGTCATGGTTCTTTTGTGTCTCCCCGTTGCTGCTTTAAAAGTAAAAGTGGCAAAAGTATTTTATAGATAGTGAATGTGGTTTGGTATGAATTGAACAGATCATGACATTGAAAGCAGGATGCAGATCTGCATCAACTGTGGACATGCTAGAGCAATTTAGATGAGATTTGCCAATTGGATCCATAGAGCAGTATCAGTAAAGCGATCGGGTAATGTAGGCTGATCCCAGCTGATCTGCTGCGATTTTCTGGACTTTGTAGCCTGCTTGAGCTAACCCTAAACTTGATTTATGCTGCTCTCAGCAGCAGAGAAGTTTGAAAAAAACACAAAAGGCCCTTTGCCAAGTCCACAATTGACCCATTTACTGTATCGCTCTCATGTTGCACACTCATCTAGAACAGTGGTCTAAAGCGAACACAGACCTTTAAAGTAGTTCAGATCTAAACAAAGACGTGGATGATGCATAGACACTGACAAACAATCTCCTGTGTTGTTTAGAGAGCAGGACCTAGTTACATAATGTGCACACTTTGGTAAGGCATGTAATTGCAAGGCTTGATGCCCCAAAGTTGTTTTACGGCGATTTAATTTCCAGAAATCTGGTTTATTTATAGCGAGCCTGAAAAAACTAAATGGTCTGTTTGTCATGGTGGCTCGAGAGGTCAAGAAATACTCCAGGAAGTTATTTATAATTTGCTTATAATGAAGCAGATTTTTTTTCATCACTTATTTGTTACAAAAACAGTTCAGTATCGGTCTTCATTAGATTCTTCCAAGGGTTACTTTTTTGTTTCTCTCTGACTTCTCTTTGTCTCTTTTACTGTCTTTTTCTCTCTGTTATTTTCTCTCTCTCACTCTCTCGTCATGTGATTTTGCTGTAGAGATGAGCAACAGAGCAGGAATCTGAGGTTCAGCCAACGCATTACATAAAGCTCCCTCCTTCTCCCCCAGTCGTTGCTAGAAAACAAACGTGAACCACTTCTTCTTCAGCTCGGCTAAAGTGAATGAACTCACTTCCTGAAGGCAGAGCAGGGAGTTTTTCATTAGGGAAAAAAAGAGAGAGAGAGAGGGAGAACGATTGTTTCAGGAACAGACTGGATTCTCTGGTATTTAAGAACAGTCAGTATGTGCAGAAAAACATGCAAGTCTGCAATCAGCTGCTGCAGCCTGTTGTGTCTACAGACCGAAACATTCACATCCATGTCAAGATGGCAAGGCTTCCCGTCTTTAACTCCTGTTAGCGCTGAGCTGGATGTTTGCCACAAGGACAGACAGCAAAGGTTTTGATTCATGGTCAGTTTCAGATTTTGCCTGTTGAAGTCATCACGACATAAACTGGACGCATCAGACGTGATCCTTCTTTGTGTTTTTCATTTCATTGTAGAGCAGAGGGTCTTGAATCTGAAGCTCCCTGTGGCTTTGACAAAAAAAGGAGAAACTAAACTTAACTACAGTAACTTTTCTATATTTTATAAGTGAGGTCTGGTACCAGAACTGTGCTGCAAGAGAAGTTTGTGTCTCCCCCTGGTCTCAAGTCAGACAGAGCCACTGTGATTGTTCTGCAGATGGAGTTTACTTTCTTTTTTACTTTTAACCTCCTAAGACCTGAACTCTTTCATGGCATGCATTTTCAGTTTCTCTTGGGACCTGATGAATGTAAAAACAAAGAATTACCTGATTTTTTTTTTCTTTTTACCTGATTTTTGTTTCTGAGAGAAATTAGACTGACATATGAGGACATTTGCTTTACATTTCGATAGAACAGTGGCAGTATAGTGTCCTCGGAAGTGGATATCAGGCCCTTGTAGAGCAAAATTTAGTATTTTGGTCTAGACCAGCAGTCCCCAACCCCCTGCCCACAGACCGGTACCAGTCCGTGAGTTGTTTGGTACTGGGCCCGCGAGTTCAGGCACAGGTGTAAAATTTAGGGTTTTTATCGGTTTTTAAGTGTTATTTTTTTAATTGTTTTTATCGTTAACTCTGTTTCCCTGGGTCTTTTCCTGTGTGTTATGAATTAATCTTCTTTTTTGGTACCAGTACTGGTTTTATTTTGTTGTATTTATCTGCGACACCTTGTGTGAAAATAGTGTCGGACATAAACTGGTCCGTGGTGCACCTTTACTGGGTTAGCATCAGGGTCAAATTCCGCTCTGATCCCAAAAGAGTTTAAAAAACCTGGAAGTTCGTGTTTGACTTTAACGCTGTCCTCTCTCTCTTTGCTTCTCCCTTCCACCCATTGTTGTCCTCCCCACCTTGCTCACCTCCCTCCCTCCTCCTCCTCTCTTTGTGTTTCTCTCCTTTTCTTCATTTTCTTATCGGCCCTCGGCCTCAAACCGCTGTCTGCGTTCTTTCTTCCTCTCTTTGTCTTTTTTCCTGTCTATTTTCTTTTTCTGTCCTCCTGTCTCTCTATCACCCCGTCTTTCTCGCCTGCCCAGCTGTTCTGACCCCGAGAACTTTACACAGAGTGAATGTAGAGAACAAGACAATACGAGTAGACAGCGGTTGTAGTTTTTCTATATGTGTCTATGTATTTATGCTTGAAATGCTTTGTGTGCAACAATAGGGGTGTGTTCGTGTGCGTGTGTATGTATGTGTGTGTTCTTTAGTGTTGCATAACCTCTGTGAGTGGGATGCTGTTTGCGTCCAGTGTTTATAAACTACTCCGCTCCAACAGCAATAACGTTGCGAAATCAAACACACACACACACACACACACGAACAGTCCTCTCGTAAATGACGGTAGGAGTCATTCAGACTCCTCCTCGTCCATCCATCCTGCTGCAGTTGTGTAAAACAGTGACCGCTGGAGACAGTCGACTTCCTACAGCGAAAACAAAGATTTTGTTTGTTTTGTTTGGAGGAAATTGCAGTTTTCAATGTTTTAGTGTCAGATAATCAGTTAAATTACTCTTAATGTGCACAATGGAACACCTAAATCTCCAGAGTTCTGCTTGAATGAGGGATTCACGTCTATTCAAGCCTCAAACGAGGGATATGATAGCTGAAAGACTTTAGATTTTATAGTAAACCGTAGAATGATTCTTTAAACGTAGATAAATTAGAAACAGATGAAAATATGTTGCTGGATAAAATGGGATTAGAGGGAATAAATCATTTTAAGGAGGGATTAAGGATAGGAGCAGCAAAAAACAACAAAAGCAGAGTTCTTCAAAAATTCATCATCACACAGGAGACGTCAAAAATTCGTTCATGTACTATGATTGTCAACTTTGGGTGACGATGGCGGGCAAAATCAAAAACTTAAACATCTATTCTAGTTATGTGTTTATAGGACCTTTTTTATTTTACAATGGCAGTAATGGTCTTTGCATATGTGCAAATTGGCATGTCAACTTAAAGACAAAATAATGCTGTATTTTATGGGTCAGTTTACTGAAACTTTCCTCATAATTTTCCTAAAAACGTGCAAAAATTGCAAAGAGATTTCGCAAAAGAAGTCAACGTGGTTCTGCAGTGGTTAGCGCTTTTCCTGTTTTGGAATGAGTTCTTTACACGCACTCTTGGCTTCCTCCCACTGTCAAGAGACATCCTCGTTAGGTTAGCTGGGTATTCTTAATTGGCTATAGGTGTAAATGGTTGTCTGTCTCGATGTGATTGGCGGCCTGTCCGGGGAATAAGCTCCAGCCCGACTACAACCCTGAATTGGATAAAATGAAGAAAATAGAGGGATGGGTTTCCAAAAAAATGTTTACTGTAACACTTTATTCCCTTGTTGTCTGAGCCGTCATTCGCTGTCAGCTGCAGATGTTCATGTTGTTTTTTCTGTGTCTCGCAGAGATGTAGCGTGTGTGTTGGTGTGATCGGCGGACCATCATGCACCTCTTCTTGCTGCTGATCCTTCAAGCTACAGCAGCCATCGGACAGATTGATCCCGGTACACAGGCACACAGGCACACACACACAAACCCCACTTTACCCCATCTTGATTTTAAATCTAAATCCATCCTCTGGAACGAGCCAATTTAAACAGTTACAACTCAATAAAATGTTTCATTTGTAAAGGTCTATAATCCGTCCTTGCAAAACACATAAAAATAAAATTGTGAATGTGTTTTTCCAGCACACTGTCGCTACCCCTTGGGCATGGAGGATCGACGGATCAAAGATGATGCGCTCAAAGCATCCAGCCAATGGCACGAAACAACAGGACCACAGTACGCCAGGTAGGTGTGGCTTAAAGGTTAAGTCGACTGGTTTTAAAAAAGTGTCTTTTATTGTTTTTAACTCTTGAATAAAGAAAAAAAGAAAAACCTGAAATGGAATTGTGAGATACAAAAATTGATTAAATATGCTTTAGAATGAAGTCAAATAAAAATTTGAAGATTTTAGAACTCCATCTTTTGGTTAAACTTGTGCAAGTGTGGTTTATGTGTTTGTGTGTGTGTGCGTGTGCAGGTTGAATCGTGAGGAGGGAGACGGCGCCTGGTGTCCTGCAGCGCTGCCATCAGTCAGTCAGTACCTCGAGGTTTGTGTCTGAAGCGTGCTCAGTCATGTCCGGGTACCTGCATTTGTTATGTGGCGAAGTTCTACTCCATAAGTAAGAAGGTGTCGTGCATGCAGGAGAAAGTGGCGCTGCACAGTCAGTGTAACATGAGAACGGGTGAAAAGATCACAGTGGATCAGAATCTGAGGTTTCAGAGTGTAACACAATATTTAAGTGCTTTGCAAAGCAGCTAAATTCAGTACATTCTGATTTAAAGGTGAAGTCTGTGTGTGGTCTACAAAGTTATTCTTTGGATAAATCTAGAAGCTCATGTGTTACCCAGAGAAGGCTGTTATTACAAACTGGCTAAATCTGTGTATAACAGCTGACTTGTGGGACGAGTGGAAGACAAAGAAATACTTACCTTCACAACTGAGCGATCTTTTAATAAAGTTGGTGGTATCGATACTGCGCCACATGTGTGAATGCTGCAGTGTGAAGCTGTAGGTATTTAAATATCAAAGGAGAGAATCTGAGTCACAGTCATCTGTGGACATCAAAGACTGTATGGAAAATCCTCAGTTTCACATGATATTTATGCGATTCAGACATTCTTACACTTCACATCTGTTTAAGTCGCTTTAATATCTGTATATTGACATACGTTTTATATGTTAAAATGAGGAAAGTAATTAAAAAATCTAAAACCTGAAAATAATTTTGTGATGTTGCAGAGGTTTTTGTGTGCACACTGTTGAGTAAAGGCACACAGAGCATCTTTAGTTTTTACAGTTTTCTTTATGGGCCGATTTCTGTAGAAATGCAACAAAAATCCTGAGACGCTGCAAACACTCAGCTCACGATAAAAACCAACTTTGAAGCCTGTTATAGATCTCTGACTTAAATGCATCTCGTATTTGGAAGCTGCATGCCTCTTGACATTAAAATTGCAGGATTAACAACCAGATGTGTGGACGGCTTGCCTCTATACTTTTGGGGTGAACCATTTTCCCACGTTAATGATACAATATTATCTTTAAATGCAGCCTTTAGTTTTTAGGTTACTCGCATGTTACAAGATTTGACCGAAAGCCTTTTGCTGGAATTTTCTTTTTAGGTGGATCTCGGCAGACTCACCTTTCTGACGGTTATTGGTACTCAGGGACGATATATCAGGAACTCTGGGAATGAGTTTGCCCGAGAGTATCGCGTAAACTACAGCAGGGACGGCAAGCTGTGGAAGTCCTGGAGGAATCGGCAGGGGAACGAGGTGAGTGACCCAAATATCTTACAAAAAGGACTTAATGAGAGGAGAGAGGAAACAGACTGAAAAATGGGACATGAGAAGGGTCTGAGCCGAAGGAAGAATAGGAGGAAATACGTGAGGACTGATGGAGGGAAGACTGGAGAAAGAGGAAGAAAAAAAGAAACGAACAGGATTTTTTTCCTCTCGTTTTTCACTCTAAGCTGCTTCTGGTCATTCATATTCATATCAGAGGAAATTACATTTACACGCCAGCTTCCTGTTGGCATTTGAGGTCCTCGCAGCTACGCAACACTGTTAGAACAATTTAAAACACCAGAATCATGTTTTTGATCTGAGGCTCCTCCCTCACATTCACATGGGGAACTTCCCAGAGTCTGTGCAGATTTCTGGTTATTTTGTGCCCAGCAGCACAAAGATTCACATTCCAAATTTCTCAGGGTGCTTTTTTTCACTTTAGGAAATGAAGCCCGGAAACATCCGCTGAGGAGTAACTGATGCATGCCGTCAGCAGAAACTCTCAAGCTTGTCTTCTTTGCTTTGAATGTTCGGCTGCTTATTTCTACACGTGCAGTTGTGCAGGGGCACTGTGTGAGAGGCAGTGAATATTAAAAAATATATATATTATTTTCTTGTGAACATAAATTTGGCATCATCCTCACCGTCCTTTTGCATCTATTTGTGATTATTTTTGTGGTTTTTGTCACTTTGTTCGATAATTCTGCTCATTTAGGGTGTGTTTGCGTTTTGTATTTGTTTAGCATAGCTTTTCTTGTCTTTTTAAAGAGATTTTCCTGCATCATTATAATAATGTTGGTCCAGGATCTACGTTGCAACTGACCAATCAGCTTTCAGTTTGCACTGGCCAAGAAGTTAGTTAATTATTTTAAAAGTATCACTAGCAAACTTACATGAGCAAACTAAATTTGGCTAACAGAAGCTAACCTGATAATATTTTTATTCGATTGTATAGATTAATAAAGAAAACAGAGCGTTTCTTATAAACATAGCCTTTTTTTTTCTTTTTTACCCCATAATACAAAGCTGTGACATCACAACAATGTGACTGGTCACTTTCAATGTTGATCCTGGACACACATTGTTATGATGATGCAGAAAAAACACCAACACAGGGATATCAGATGCACCAATCGTTGGTCGCTGCCCCTCCCTGATCTTGATTTTGTCGGTGGTCTCTATTGCCAAGCGCTGCTCGTAGCAGGTTGTTTGCTCACTGGGGCTCTCTCTCTAATATTGCAGCATATTTAACTCCCTATTGTCAGGCACAAATTTTCCTCTAGACACCATCACAGTGGATTTTAATCAAGCAATCAAAATGTGACTGAAATGCACACCTTCTGGTCTAAATCAAGGGATTTAACAAAAGTAACACAAAACCTATAAAAGTGGCTAGATAGCAACGTTTTTATCTCTTTAATTAGCCCATTCTCACTCCCAATGCCTAATATACCGACGATTTGTCAAATCCTGAGGTGTTCCATGGGAATGTGAAAGGTGACCTTCTGCGTTCCTATGCTACGCGCTGGATTGTGGATGAAATCGAATAGAATGAAGCTCCCACGGTAAGACATGTTCCAGCCGTGTATTCCAGCCCTAACCCTAACCTTATCCCTAATCGTAACCGACACCTTAATCGTGTTAAATAGTGTTTTCCAAAGCAATTTAAGTAAAATAAATGTACATGTGTGGATTCGTTCCAACGGTTCTTTTCCGAACTCGTAATATAGCGTTGGGTGGCTGAAATCGTAATATACCGACTATTTGTCACCTAGCATAAAATGTTACACTTTGGGAGTGGGAACGTGTTGCTTTAATAGCTTTATTGTTTGTTTGTTTTTCAGCCTAAAAAAATCCCTCCTTCACTTGCACCAATGTCTCTTTGGGAGGTCCAATGCACACCTTCCAAACACAAGTTCAGCACTTGGAATCAACTCCAGATCTCTTGTCTGGTTCATTTGTCACTGAATAATGAGGGCACAGGCCTCACCTGGCCAGGACACTGTTTGTCAAGCAATTCTCTGAAAATCAATGGACTGTATAAAGATGGCTATAAAGTCAAAACATGTCACATGACAACTTGTAACAACACTATTAACCTACTGATTGAACAGATGTTCCAGGGGTTTAATCTTTCTGTACTCCTGGTGTGATGGTCTTCTTTGTATCCCTGATATCTGTGTACAGATTATTGAGGGAAACAAAGACGCCTACACCTCTGTCATAAAGGACCTCCGCCCTCCGATAGTCACCCGCTACGTCCGGCTGCTCCCCGTGACCAGACTGTCCACCACCGTCTGCATGAGAGTGGAGCTGTACGGCTGTTCATGGGACGGTAGGACACATAAACACACAGTTTCCTTGTTAATGTGCGTTTTCGTCAGCTCAACTGCCATTAGAGACTGTTTACGCTTCCTCAGAGACAAGTAAACCTCTTCATGTCAACATAAAAGCTTTTAATGTCCATAAACAACTGTTTTTCATCCACAAGCAACACTTTTATTTAACAAACACTGCTGTTTATCAGATCCTTATATCGAGCAAAAACAGGAATTTGAATGATGTGAGTGCGATCCTCACACTGTTGTCATGAAGGTTGAAAGTTTGCTGTTCTGAGTGCAGCTGTGGGATCTTATTGTGGTGAGATAACAGTGAAATGGGATGAACTGCACCTTTAACTTTCCACTCCTCCTGGTTTCAGATGGGCTGATATCCTACAGCGCTCCAGAGGGTCAGCGGATGCAACCGCCGGGTTATCCCATCGCCAACCTCAATGACTCCACATATGATGGAGTACACGAAAGGGGGTGGGTCTCTCTTTGCTGCACTCGTACACACATCACATATCAGCGTTTCCTGTTTACTGACTGCTTTGTCATCCGATAGGAAGCTTTTCGGCGGCCTGGGTCAGCTGACGGACGGCGTGATCGGCCAAGATGACTTCACACGGACCCACGAGTACAGCGTGTGGCCTGGCTATGACTACCTGGGCTGGAAAAACGACTCGCTGGAATACGTGGAGATGGAGTTCGTGTTCGACAGGCAGAGAAACTTCACCTCGATGAAGGTTTTTCATTTTTGCTTCCTCTACCTCATCAGTACTATGAACTCACCACAAACTTTGTCATAGCAGTAGTGGTTGACAGCACTTTTACATGTGCTTTTGCAATTACCAGACTTACTCAGAGCCTAGAAATTGCCTCTGGTTCAGATCCGGTGTCGGGTTTCTCTAGTTTGCTCAGCACCATGTCAGCGTCAGCCTAGGCTGATGGCAGGGGACATGTTTAAACATCTTTGTGAGGACAGTAAATTGCATGCTACTACACTTGTGGGGGCCAGCAGTCACTTATGGGGACAAAATGCCCGTCCCCACGAGTTTGAAGGCATTTTGGAGATTCAAAATGTGGTTTTAGTGTCAGTGTTACAATTAGGTTATGGTTAGGTTTAGGCTCAGGGTTAGGCATTCATTTTTGATGGTTAAGCTTAGGGTAAGGGTATGGTTAGGCTAGGGAAAGCATTATGTCAATGAGATGTCCTCACTAACATATGAAAGTGTGTGTGTGTGTGTGTGTGTGTGTGTGTGTGTGTGTGTGTGTGTGTGTGTGTAAAAACGTACAAAGTAACTTAACTTTGTACGTTTTCAGGAGCATGCACAGTATTGTCGCATAATAAAAGAGATTGAAAAGTATTTTCTGCCTACCTTCATATGTGGTCAAGCTTTTTAACCAGTTGCTTTCAGCTCTCCTTCATCACTGTGTAACTGATTTAACTGCAAACGTACTTTCCATCCAGCATTTGCTCTTCCTGTAATATGGAGCGCAGCCAGCAAGTGCTCCAGCAATGTTCAGTGGAGTCATGTGTTTACTTTTAAGTCACGCATCAGCAGCTGCTAGCATCTCCTCCTACTGTGCCATCATTGCCACTTTGTCTGAGTCCATTATAAATGAGCTTTAGATCCCCGTGGAACTCCCTCACGCTTTACAAACAATAGCAGATGTTCTGCTACTTACTCTTACTTTCATTCTCCATCCAGGTCCACAGCAACAACATGTTCTCCCGCGATGTGAAGATCTTCTCCTCGGTCTCCTGTTGGTTTAAGCCCCACTTTGTACCGGAGGCGGGGCCTGTGGAGTTCAGGACGGTGCTGGATGACCGGAATCCGAGTGCTCGCTACGTCACCGTGGATCTGAACCACCGCACTGCCAAATCCCTCCGCTGCCACTTTTACTTTGCTGACGTCTGGATGATGTTTAGCGAGATTTCCTTTCAGTCGGGTAACAAACACGCACGTGCAAACAGAAGTGCAGAACAGTAAAAGAAGGAAAAATAAGTGACTTCCTGTTTTTTGTTTTTCAGTGGATACCATATTCCTGACCCAAATGACATCTCCTCTACCCACTAAGGACACCATCACAACACCTGCACAGAAGACAGGTGTGACAATTAATTGTTTCACGTTTTAAAGTCGCCACTTCAAAACTGTGCCAGATAGAGGGCGCTGTTTTGTCAGTTTGTGCTCAGGTCATTTTTTTTCCCTTTTTCTTAATTTTTGAGGACATATATCTTTTTTAGCATTTCTGTCACACTTAGTGGAGCTACCACTAACAAATGTATTTGCAGAAACAAATGATAAAATCTTTGGTATATGGTATTCTAACCTTTCTTCTCAGCCGCTGCTCCATCAGCTAGTGCCACACCAGATGATGGGAAAACACCCATCCTTATTGGCTGCCTGGTAACCATCATCCTTTTGTTGGTCATCATCATCTTTCTCATCCTATGGTGTCAGTACGTCTGCAAGGTATTAGAGAAGGTGAGGATACAAATAAATGAATTACCTTTGTTTTTCTGAGTGGAAGTGGGGGTTTACCTTTATTTTGTTAACTTCCTGTCATGTCCGTTGGTGTTAAACATGCTGTAATCACTTAATCGCTTTAGGTTTTAAAAAAATGTTCCTGTAAACAGCTGCATTCTCTGCTGAAATGCAAACCGTTTCCTAATAGATGTCCACCAGGAGGTCCCTGCTTCCATTTTATGGTCTTTAAGTCACCTCACACATTTGTTTTGATTTTCAAACAGAGGTTAAAAGCTGCAGTTTAGATCCCAAACTCACGTGGGAGATGGGAGGCATTTCTTTTTCTTTTTAGGAAATAAGATTATAGCTTATGTTTGTGGCTAAATCAGGACTATTAAGCATTAAATCAGATTAAAGAACGAATAAGAATGAACTGACTGACTCTTTACAGGCATCTGTGACCCCATGTTTTTTCTTTCTTCCATCCTAATCTAGGGTCCACGTCGGATTCTTGATGAGGAGGTGACGGTCCGGCTGTCGTCCTGCAGTGACACCATCATTTTACAGACTCCACCTGTGCCCCCGCGCTCTGGACGCGCCCCGACTGGTACTCTTCTTTTACTTGTATCGTTTAAAACATGCCTTTGTTTGCCATTATTATTCACGCAGAAAGAATTGGTGAAAGTTAAGGTGTTAAATTTCGTGTTTGTAGGAGAGATATTCTAAAGAAAATCTCTCTATGTGCATTTATTCTTGACTGATTCATGCTGTTTTCCTCAGGTCCTGTGAACACTGACCCTCACTATGAGAGAATTTTCCTGTTGGACCCTCAGTACCAGAACCCAGCGGTGCTGAGAAACAAACTTCCAGAGCTGTCACAGAGCGCAGAGGCATCTGGTAAACACCTTCAACGATGAAGTCGATGCAGGCGTTCATTTAAGAATTAGTGAAAAAGACACAAGTTGAGAAATAGCAGAAAGTCCTTTGAACGCTGCGTCATGATGTTTGTCTTTGAGTGACCGCTTCATAACCGTGTGTTTAGGCTTGTAGTAGGAATTTGTGTTAAGAATCATTGATGCTTCAGAGATGTTCCAGATCTATCCAATATGACATGATTAATCACAGCTGTAGAGGAAAAAAGGTCGAAAGCCTTTCAATAAGAGAGTCTGCTGCCTCCTGGTGGCGATGTCAGTAATTTCAAACAAACTCTACAAACTTCAAGCATCCATCAAAGTTCTGATCTTCTGTCACTCATTAACAGCTCCTCAACCTGTTTCTCTCCTGTTTATTTACTTCAGAACGTGTTAAATAAGCTCTTTTTTTCTCCTTTTTCTCTCTATTTAAGTTTCCCAGATGAAGTTGAACATGCATGCTCATTCATACTTATTCTGCAGTGCTTCTCTCCTTTTTCTCTCGGCTCTCTACGCCTCTTTTCCAAGTTTCCTCTTCTTCCAGCTCTCCTCCTTGGTAATCCTCTCTATGACCTCCTCCTGCTGACTTCCTGTCATATGACATCAGGATGGCTTCGTGGTAAGAGTTGAAAGGTGTGACTTCATGCAGTTAATCAGATCACATATACTTAAGTGAAATCAAGTGAAGTTTGGAATTTTATTTTATTTTTATTTTTCAATTCTTTTCCTTCTATGAATCATCTTATGACCTCTCATGACCTACTGGAGGGGACCTAACCCTGAGAGGTTGGGATATCCTGGATTGAAAAAACTTCTGTAAAAAACAAATTCAAACTAGTAAAACTTCAGTCAGCAATTAGACTAATGGTACTAGTAAAATGATAAAGATGTACTGCTTTTACTTTAGATAGAAAACTAGAAATTACCAGTAATTTAACGTTTTTACTAATTAATCTTGTGCTGTTGGTACTTTTCAGTAAGCTTCACTTCATTTTTTATTTATATTAGACATTAATTTAACAAGCGCTTGTCTTTCCAACAGCATGTGGAGGTGGCTATGCTGAGCCAGACATCACCCAGTGCACGCCGCACCAGTGTTTCCATAGCAATGCGCCACACTACGCTGAGACGGACATCGTGCGGCTGCAGGGCGTCACTGGCAGCAACATGTACGCCGTCCCCGCCCTCACCGTGGACTCTCTCACCAGGAAGGACATCTCCGCTGCCGAGTTTCCTCGGCAACAGCTGATCTTCAGGGAGAAGCTGGGGGAGGGGCAGTTTGGCGAGGTGAGCTTGTGGGAGGTTTCGTGGGCTTCAAAGTTATCCTGGAAAAATCTTATTTCATCCCTATTTCATCTTCTTCCCTGGCAGGTCCACCTGTGTGAGGCGGAGGGACTCCCAGAATTTCTTGGGGAAGGCTCGCCCCTCCCTGACCGAGACGGTCACTCTGTGCTTGTGGCTGTTAAACAGCTGAGGGCCGACGCTACCAGCCAAGCCAGGTACTCTTTATGAGTGTGTATATGAATCGCGACAATGTCAAACTATATAAATTTGGAGCTGAGGTGGTTAAAGGTTCATCCCCTGGAGAGCATATATTGGTTAAAATCAGTGTATTCATTGCTTTAATGTGTTCATATGATGAGAATGTTTCACTATTTATACACTAAAAACAAAAATGTAGTCCATAACTAGTCAAATGAATAACGTGCAGGACCGAAAGCTCCAAACTGCATTTCCTGGTTGACTGTTTTTTGCAGAGAAAGCCCTCCTACCTACAAATGCAGACCATGTTATTTGAAGTGAGAGCAGTACTTGACTCCGTAGATGAGAATATATTAGGATAAACTGGTGTAAGAGCTTTAAGGGATGTGCAGGATCTTAGATCTGTGCATCAGGCTTCGCTGTAACACTGAGAAATACATACCTGTAGTTGGTTCCTTTGAGTTGAAGAACAGATCTGGAAATGCTTCCTCTCCTTTATCTGTCCGTCGATCAGGAACGACTTCCTGAAGGAAATAAAGATTATGTCTCGTCTGAATGACCCCAACATCATCCGACTGCTGTGTGTGTGTGTGTCGTCCGACCCACTGTGCATGGTTACTGAGTACATGGAGAACGGAGACCTCAACATGTTCCTGTCGCAGCGGGAGATCGAGAGCACTCTTACACATGCCAACAACATCCCTTCAGTCAGGTTAACCATGCACACAGTTCGCACAGGTCATACATGAAAACAATCGAGCGTCAGGTTTCTAAACTATCTTGTTAGTGCACTTTTGATTCTCACCACTTTGAATCGCTTTCTGCTTCTCCACTTCAGCCTGTCTGACCTCCTCCATATGGCGGTGCAGATCTCGTCGGGGATGAAGTACTTGGCATCTCTGAACTTTGTGCACCGTGACCTGGCCACAAGAAACTGCCTGCTGGACCGCCGCCTCACCATCAAGATTGCCGACTTCGGTATGAGCCGAAACCTGTACAGCAGCGACTACTACCGTATCCAGGGCCGGGCGGTGCTGCCTATACGATGGATGGCCTGGGAGAGCATCTTGCTGGTAAGGTTTGGACGAAGGGAGTTGATTTAAGATACGATCTTTATTTTGCTCCTTTTAAACTTTACACCTCTGTCATGTGTTACTTTTTGGTGGAAGTTCTGCGGTTATTCTGCTGCTGCATTCAAAATCTTCAGATACTTGAATGAATGTTACCCTGATGATACTTTCCTCTGTATTAGAGAGCTGAGAGCTGCTGTCATATGAGATAAGCTGATACGTTTTCACAGGATTCTGTCTGTAAGCACTGATCATGATTCAGTAGCTTGAAGAACCATCTTTAAAGTCATACAGCATTTTTTTGCTGTATGACTTTATTAGTCTAATATAATTGTGCAGGAATTTTAGCCCACTGTTGTAGTTCTTAGGTCTTTTTTTTCCAAACTGGGAAAACATCTGCTGGTAAATAGCTGGTCAGATATTATTGTATGTTTTTCACATGTTCGTACAGGATATTGTATTTGTTTTAAATGTTATGCACTTGTGTGGTACATGTATTTTGACTTTTGTTGCTATGATGCCAGGTCTCTCTTGGAAATGAGATTTTTAATCTCAATGAGATTCTTTACCTGGATAAATAAAGGACTAATAAATAATAATAATGATGATACTAATAGTAAAAAAATTGCTGATTATGCTACTTAGCCTATTTTAACCCCCAATACTTCACACATACTACCAGCCAAGCCAGACTCTATGCAATGCTATAAATAGTCTTTTTCAAATGACTGGTAGTCTATAAATGTCTTTAATATTCAAAAGAAGAAGAGCTAAAAGTTCCAGAAGTTTATATAGGCTTGTAATTGTATTCAAACCCTGCGGACATTTGCCTAGATCAGTTCAGCGACTTATAAAAAACATGTACGTTCCCCTCACATCTTCCTTTTTAAAAATCAACAGCTGAAAGCAGTAAAACAGTTTTCCACAAAACAAATAACAAACTCTTTACAGTTGCTTGTCTTTAAAATTGCTAGATGCATAAATGCAAATGCAAACTGTTTCACTAAAGGAAGTTTAGCTAAGAGTTCTTCAAAAGCTTCCTGCCCTCCAGAGGAAGCACCAGTAGCGGTTTGCACACTAAAACAATGAAACATTTTTTTGCTGCAGTGTTTTCTTTCAATAACTTTCCTGTTCTGCATCATGAATGTGGTTGCATAAGTTTAATGTCTTTTGCAGCTGTAAAGTTAAGCGAAAAAACAATGGATCCAAGCGGACCCAAACCAGGTCTAAAGCAGAAGCTTTTACGTTTTTATCGTATCGTATTTTTTTGTAAGTCTCACAAAGTATCGCAATCAACATTTCATCAGCAGCTGTCTTCAGAGAGTCACTGAAAATAAGACAAAGTATTTTAAAGTTGGAGTGTTAAACTTTCAGATGTGATTATTCTCCTCAGGGTAAATTCACCACAGCCAGTGACGTGTGGGCCTTTGGAGTCACCCTGTGGGAGATCTTCACTCTGTGTAAGGAGCAGCCCTACAGCCTGCTGTCTGATGAACAGGTCATAGAGAACACTGGCGAGTTCTTCAGGAACCAGGGCAGACAGGTGAGGCGAAACACAGGACAGAGTCACAGATTATTATCTTCTGTCACTTCTGAGAGTAATACTGCAAACATTTAATTTAATTGCAACTGGATCCAAGACAGCTCATAGCAGTCTTTACAAACCTGGAAATCAGGACCCTTGTAAGTGCCTGCAGGATAAATTTGAGGGGCTACTAAACCTAAACCAACATTTGTCTTTTTTAACAAATCACTGGACTCTGTCATCACTCTTAATTCTCCCGTGTCCCTCACTAGATCTTCCTCTATGCCCCTCCACTCTGCCCACCTTCTCTCTTTGAGCTGATGATGCGTTGCTGGAGTCGCGATATCCCTGACCGACCCACCTTCGAGGGACTTTACCAAGCCCTGAAGCCCCACGTCAACCAGTGAGTCAAGGCTGCTGGGATCTGCTGGTTGGGATTTCCGTGGCGGTGGGACTCTTATAAGAAGACAGACTGACACAAGAGCACAGAGGACTGGAATTACAGTGCAGAGGGATTGTTGGTTTGCTTCACGGCACTAGCGACTCCCTTTTCTGAAAGACCGGGTGATGATGGAGGGAGACGTGACTAGTCAGCTCAGAGGAGAAAATATGGCAAGCTTCAGACCTTTTGGTCCATAGTGAACAAACCATTGGCAGTTTCATAGCTTCTTCTGTTTTTTTTACAGCCGCTTTACCCCAAGCCTTTTGACTTGTTTGTGCCAAAAGTTGCCTTAAACCATTTGTTTCCTTCTCTTTGACTTTTAGAGATTACAAAAAACTGGATAGTCCTTGTAGTTTCTCCTTTCCCTGTGGGTTTTTATTATTATTATCATTATTATTATTGTTATTATTATTATTGTAAAGCACTGTGTCTGTGTCTCTCAGTTATTCATGTTCATATATTAATCCACACTGGAGCTAGGGCTATAGGGTCAGATTTTAGTGTAGGATTTTATTTTTTAGATTTATTCTATTTTAAAATTTTGTTGTTTTGTGGAGTTTCACAATCGTTGGTCTTTTTTTTTTGTGGATATGAATGTTGGTCAGCTGAGGTTCACGTCGCGGTGCCAAGAAGCTGAAGAAACCTGTGTGGCTCACAGACTGAAAATCAGTCTGTGGGTATCTGTGGGAAATTTTGAAAAAAAAAGAACTTAAAGCCACATGAGAAAAAAACTGAATCATGCCACTTTTGTTCCCTAAGAGACAAAAAAAATGTTGAAATGCAGTTTTAAAATAAAAACAGAATTGTAAGCATCTTTGTGAAGATGGGCATGATGGTCAAAATTTATGATCCTTTTATTCAAAGTGCTTTGCGTATGTAGCAAAATCGGTACCAGAGGGAAAGGTCATGGATGCCTGACCCTCAGATGCTGGTCACAGGGAGATTAACCAAGTGTCGAATACCAAGGTGTCATTTAACCTGTCGGTGTTTGTCTTTGGGGACCTGCAAAATATACATTTTGTGGATAAAAAAATCAAAAAGCATATCTGATTTAAACGTGGGCACCACGTGGTCAGAGTTTAGTGCACACCAGCATGCAAAACATTAAAAAAGCAGGATTTTCACTCAGCACTTGGTTTGTCCTCTCAAAATGAAATTCAGGTTCATTGGTCACACACGTCAGTGACACACAAATGCAAATCTGATAGTTATGAGCCCTGCTTAGGCAGCCCATCTCTGTGGGGAGATTTAAAACAGGTATCCTTTTTGATTTTTGATGGGCATTGTGGAACTTTATGAATGCACCTTGCATATCTCCTTATTTGAACTCACAAAGCTGAAGGTGTTAAGCTCTTCTCTGGCTTCATGTAGTCGGTTTTATTCACAGAAATAAACTGCAGTAATACTTACTGCATTGCTGCACATGTAGATGTCTCACCATTTGATATGTCTAGTCTTCTGTAGTCTGAATTTGCTAGGATTTGAACTCCAGACAAGGCATTTTGTCTTGACTTAATGTACCATCTACATTTGGGGCTGTGAGTTCCCAAACTACTGCGTTAGAACAAGGTTCACTGATGAGTGAAAGCTGATAGACTGTGGGCAAATGGAGGCCTTACACCAAGGCTGGATTTCCAACTAGGCAAAGCAGGAAACTGGGAAAAAGCCATTTGTCTGTCACCACTGGTTGTAGCTAAAAAATGTTTTAAGTGCTTCCAACACTGAGCAGGTATTTAACCGAAGAGCGCCCTGCAATAATAGTTCATTTTCTGACCCTGTGTAGTGGAATAACCCTGTGGCAGATTGTACCATTTTAGTTTAGTTTGTCCGTAGCGGAGCCTGTTCCTGAAGTTATATTTAATCAAATGTAGGTGTAAAGACTAATGTTTCAGCTCAGAGGATCTGATTACACGGTTCATATTCAAAGGCACGCTGGTCAGGAGGTCAGTGTTAGCTATCAGTGTATGTTTTACATGGGGGCCACTTGACAGGTTCATGCATCAGAGAAGTCACTGCATCCAATCACTGCAGCACCTTTACTGAAACAACCATAAAGATTTTTATGTTTAAAAAGCAATGCATTCATTCTGACTTTGTTTTGCATAGCATTCAGATGAGTCTTGTTTACAGAACTAATGCTGGATCGATGCAGACTGTAGACTGGATTTATTGTTCTTCTGTCAGGATGTCTTATGAGTAATAAACTTTTAACAAAAAAAACCCCAAAACAAAACAATAAATGTTTCATGTCCAAATGTTTCACGATGATTTCAGCTTCAGCCAAAACTGACAAACGATACGAGCGTTGGAATTTTCATGATTCTGTCTCATCTTCAAAGTGTTGGCATTAACTTTAATCCAAGTATCAGTCCTCACCTTCCTTCTTGCAAGATTAAAAATGTATAACCGATAAGGAATTTCATGTCGACAGTGCAACGATTTAAGCGAGCAGTTACAGATATAAGGCCATACAGATTCATATAGATAGGTGACCATAGCCAGTGAGTATTTTGCACAACCTGACAAGGGAGGGATGGATCTGACTATGAAACTGAGGGATGGGTCGTAAGGAAGGCCCGTTTGCATAAGCAAAGCATACCCTGCTTTAAGTCCAGTTAACTCTAAATGAACCGTAGTTTACGAAATAAAATTTGTGCTGAATTAGGTCAGACTAGAAACTATTGAATAAGACTATAAACTACCTGGGAAAGTCTTTACTTCACAAATGAAGTTAGCTGAAGAGAGATTCTCATAGACTTCTGTACAATCAGACTTTTTGCCACTAATGGAGTTTCCTCTGGCTGGCGATTAGAGAAATGGGAGGTTTCAGGTACTTCTGTGTTCTGTGCCTCATTTTTCAGACACAGAGACTCTTTCTGTCTTTTCTACAGTCTGTGGATGGTAGCGGACGGTGCAGCCTTTTGACTAACTAACTCAAGTGATGCTGATAGTGGCTATCATGTTAGTAGTAGCAAGAGCCGCTTTGCCCCCATGCTTCCTGCACCATTCATTTTAACATGACTCAATAAACTTCTGATGTGTCTGTTTTCAGAGTTCTTGTCTAATGTATAAAGGTGGTAAAGCATAATTTAATGTCTGTTTTTTTGTTTTTTTACTGTTTAGGTCACTCAGTTAATGTCAGTGTGTATTATTTGTATGCAGTACACATTTGCAGTATTTTAAATCCTCCCTGAGAACAAATCGTATAAAATTAAAAATGGCGCGAACGGAGAAAGACCAAACATGTAGATTTTTGAGTACATTTTTCTGTGTTTTGTTGTTGTTGCAGTAGTGTTTTGTTATCTGTACTGTATCTTACATTTCTTTCAGCGTGTTTGTGCGAGTGTTTAAGAGAAAGTGAGATACTGAGTGAGTCTTTTCAACATTCCCTTGAGCACTGGGAGCTAGTTGAGGTTAAAGTGGTTAACTGGATTTGCTCGGTTGTGCCAAATTATGCTAACTAAGCAAAAGAGGGAGTTGGGTTTTGTTGTTGTTGTTGTTGTTGTTGTTGTTGTTTTCAAGGCAAGAGGAAAGATGGACAGAAGGAAACCACTAAACTCAATCTCCCAGAGTCCTTTGCTACAGTGAGCCTGTGTATTTTGTTTTGGTTCCATTTGAGAAATCTTTTAGTTTGATAGTGTACAGTATAATTGGTCTATAATATCTCAGTGTGTGAATGCAGATTAGGTGTGGTAATTTTTATTAATAATTAATTGTCTATCTGAATTTATAGCTATTTCTGTTTGTTTTCCCCCTTTTTTTTTTACACAGGAATTCAGCATTTATGGACATTTTTCTGAACAAGATGTTCTGTTTTGTTTCCCTGTTGTGTTCACAGTAATTTCTCATCCACACTGTTTAATCTTTGCTCCCATCTTCAGTATGTTTCAGACACATATTGTACATAGGCTAGTAGCTGTTTATATTAATATATTGGGAGGAGGAAGCTTGGTGTTCTCTGGTCCCAAGTGGTTTTCACTCTGTACTTTATCTCACTTTGGTTTGTTTTCCTATAATAAACAGTAAATGTGTCAAAAGATGGGGTTTTTTCTTTTGTATTTGTTTGTTTGTTTGTTTGTTTCATGAGTAGAGAAAACACAGCAAATTGAAATCTAAGCTTTTCAACAGTTGACGTTACAGTTTTCAGTCTAGACCACATCGATGTTCTGTACAGCAGGGGGCAGCAGAGAGATTTAAAACACACACGTATACAGGACAGCTTATATGTGGAAATGAGTCCTAGAGAAGCTTTGTTGTTCTGAAGAAACACTGAAGGCCTGATTTCTGCACATTTTTATGCCTTTTGTTTCAGGTTTGAATGTTCTGTGAGGATTTACGCCTTTTTGGTTTTTTTTCCAAGAAAAATAAAGGTTAGCAGGGATCCAACACAATAACAGGGTCCGTGGTGGGCAGGAACTTTTTTGTGAATTAAGGCACTGGTAATAAAACGTAACAGCCAATGATTAAAAATGACAAATTTCAGGCTCTTTAAGCTCTACTTTGGTCTCAACCTCCTCGGGAAAATATGTCTAGAGTAACCGTGGGTTTACCAAACTGTAAAGCTGCTCCTACAGCCTTATATGTGGGTTACATTATTAAGCCAAGATTGTTGCTTCATTCGCTCCCTGTTCAATGTAGAATTGAATTAAATCCTTCTCTTCATAAACAAGGTCTTGAATAATCAGGCCTCATCTTGTCTTAAAGACCTTAAGTACTGCATTACTGGGATATTTAAAAGTAGAATGGGAGCTTTCATGCCTCTCATTTGTGGCACTAACTCTCAGTTTGGATTCGGGAGACAAACACCCTCTTTCATAATGTGTTAAAGGTTTTCAGTTGGCTGGACTGCAGGCAGGCCAGTTTAGTACCTGGACTCTTCTACTACTTCTTCTACTATAGGTGCTGTGTGCGGTTTAGTATTGTCATGTTTAAATATGCAAGGACTTCCCTGGAATAAGACATCATCTGGATGGAAACATGTGTTGCTCTAAATCTTGTATATACCTTTCAGCATTGTTGATGCCTTTTAATGTGTGCAAACCACCAGTATAGGCACTAATGCAA